AATCAGGAACTTTACGTCCAGACTCTAACAGAGAGAGTGTTGAGTGCACAGACACAGTGAGAACTTGAATGGGAGTCCTTATTCATTACATTGCTGTGGTTTTGGGAACTTCCCGTTACATAAATCGTCCACCCCCAGTTTCCTCTGCGGAACTGGTTCGGACATTATTATCAGTTAACTAACCGGGTTATCCTTAAGAATATTAGCTTAATATTCTCCAGGAACTTCCCGTCAAAAGTGGGGAAACAGTTTAGACTCATATACCTATTGGAGTATTAAGAAGCAGTTTATACTCGTATACTTTTCGGAGTGTTGAGAAACAGTTTATACTCGTATACTCTTTGGAGTGTCAGGAAGCAGTTTATACTCTTATACCGGTCGGAGTTTTGCCGTTTTTATTTGGCTTACCTTAGCGTTATAACGCCGGCTTCGACCAAGGTCTGAATGCTATTCCTGAGAGCAAAGCAATCCTTGGTGGGATGAACAACCCTTCTGTGGTATGCACAGTACTTTGGGTCCGTAGTGTTATCAGCTTCCTCCTGATTCGTGATAGGTGGTAGCTTGATCTTGTTGCCTTCGAGGAGCGATTCGAAGATGGTTGGAACGTCTTCGTCCTTGAAGGAATACTCTCTCTGGAGTCTCGGACCCGAAGTCTTCTGCTGCCTTCGGGATTGCTGTTGTGACGCTTGATTAGCACCACCAGCAGCTGCAGGTGCTTTGCCCTTACCACGGGAAGCGAAGTTTGAGTCCAGCAGATTAACCGTCGGTTGGTTCCTTTCGGCCTTCTTCCTTTTAAGGAAGCGTTCGGCTTGTTCACCGCGCACCTTCAGATCCTTCCAAGTGTCAGACGGTGCTGTCCCCATTGCCTCCAATACGTCCAATGCGAGGTTGTTGTGGCAAGTCTGGAGAATGAATTCCTCGGTGATCGGGTCCCGGCAATTCATCGCCTTGTTCCGGAACCTTTTGACGAAGGTGTCGACTAACTCCCCGTCTTTTTGTTTCTCGTCGAGCAACGATCCGATAGAGATCTCGGTGTCGTCGTCGAAGAAATTTGCAAGGAACTTCGTCTCCATGTCATCCCAGCTGTTCACGCTTCCTGGCTTGAGGCGACGATACCAATCGAAGGCAGCTCCGCGAAGAGTGCCGACGAATGACCGCACCATCAGAGGCTCGTTCCCAGAGATAGCACCCAGGTGCGATTTGAAATAAATCAAATGCTGGGTGGGGGAACCCCTTCCATCGAACGGCGTGAAGTTGATTAGACTAAACTTCGCCGGATAGGGGATTGATTCCCATTCCCTCGGGTATGGACAAGGAATGCCCGTTTTCTTTACCTCTTGAGCAGACAGCAACGTATTGATTTTACTCTCGAGGCTTTTGATCTTCAAGTCTTCACTTGTATCCCCGTTGGCATCCTCACTACCACCCCCTGCATTGATGGGAGGGTTATTGGCATTGTGAGCTTCATCCCCATCCGCGTGCTCCTTTTCCTGAGCAACCTGGTTACGGTGGCTTGGTTCACCTTGTTGGTTCCTGAATGCTTGGATTTGCTGTTCATGCATCTCTCTCATCTGCTGCATGGCCGTCTCCATCTCGAATTTAAAACTTTCTTTCTGCTTAGCCAAAGCGTCTTCAAGCATTTTGGCCATTTCTTCCGCGCCTATCATGAATGACTCGCGGGGTTGTCCTTCGCTGGACACTGTATTGTCCGATGCGACAGCAGAGCAGGAATCCGATTCTTCATCTTCCGAATGCAATCTTATCCGAACCCTACCATAAGTTCCTCGTGCGATGGCTCCGGACTGCAGACGGGTTACACGCCGGGACGCTTCCAGAAACGATTTGAGATCAATCTGTGTCGATGTCTCTTTGCTGGTCATGTTGGCGGTGACCTTCGGACATTCTCTGTCTTCAACCACCGTTCTCCTTCGTCGGGAACGCTTAGGCCTTGGCTCTGGCGTTTTAGTGCTGAGCCTTTCGAACACCGAAACCCTTTCGGGGACCGTCTTAGTGCAATTACACTGAGACAATACCGCCCGAATGAGTTTGGAACAGGGGCACTGAGTCTCTATCCTCTGGGGATTCCTTTTTCTGGATTTGTTCGTACCCCCAGCACGATAGTACAACTCGTCCATTTGATCGGAGTAACCTATCGCGTGTTGGCACGATATCCCAGGTATAACGTTATCATCACTGGACGACAACATTTCCTTCTGGGGGCAAATTGCCTTATTTGGACTTCCGAGAGTCACTCGCCTCGAAACGCGCCTTTGTGGGCGTGAATTCTCAACGGGCTCCCGAACTTCGATGCGCAAGGTAGTGCGCTTGGGTGTCGTGAATTCCTTGTCATGCTGAAAGTGACATCGACCCCCAGCATGTTGGCTCGTTCGGGATTTCTTCATAGGGCCCAAGCGTTCATGAACTTTGCTGCACCCGTCGGGGATTGGACCAAGGCGCTCCAAGATTGACCTCTTTCCTCGGGATGGTTCGGGAGGTTGAACTCGTCTTGAAGGCTGTAACGATTGTGCCTTAACCTGAATCGCCGTTTCAGATTTCGACCTCCATACTTGGCGGGTTGGGAGCGGTTTCTTTGCCACCTCCTTCTGCAGTCTTCTACGGGCTTCTTCAATTTGAGCCCGTGCCTGCGCTGATAGTGCGCGGCGCTTACGAATGCGCTCCTCCAGCGTTGATCGGCTCCGTTTGACGCGAACCCATTCTGTTGTTGGCGGCTTGGAAGAGGCGCCATTCGTCGGTTGTTGAGGCTGCTTGCCTCTTCTGTTCTTCAGATCCGCCTTGTAGCGAACCCCGTCAACAGATTCCATGGCCTTTACGAATTGTTTCGCAAGGCGTTGCCGTTGCCTTTGGCGGGCTCTCTTCGAGAGAGTCACTACGCCTTCGGCAACGGAGGATTTGGCCAGAGCAGATCCGACCTGGTTGGAAGTTGGGGAGATCTCACCCAATGCAGCTTCGGCATCAAACAGGGCGAGATCTTCGTTGGCAGCTTCAACTTCTTCGTACCAACGAAGTTTCCTCTTGGAGGAGAGCTTTGGAGACTTGGACTTGCGGGAGGAGGTAGATCTGGGCGAGGACGACAGGTACGCCTCGAACATCTGTTGGTCGAATTCGTACTCGACCTCCTCCTCGACCGGGATCGAGATCCGCGGCTGCTTCTCCCAGACTTGTATCGGAACCCTCAGCCGAAGAATCAGAAGAGTATCCTCTCTTAGTTCTGTTAGCAATTTGATCGATAATTTGCCAACTGTTCGCGGGAAAAATCGTTGCTTTCTTCATTGATATCATTGCCATCTTAGTTAACAACTTTATGCGTTACAAAGATCCGGTCTTTTTATAAGATCCGGTTACAATGAAAATCAAAATACAAAAAAGAAAGATTACAATTTATTTCCTTTTATGTCGAACGAATCGCGAGCTCCTGTTTTGCGGTCACTCGCTTTGTGTGGGTTCTTTGCCTGCGCCGGGGTTATTTGCCGTGGACCACCGCGTGATCTCGATCCGGTCGGATCTACACGATATGACGGGTATTATCTCACGAAGGAAATAATAGCCGGGTGGGGTACTAATTCACCAAGGAAATAGTAGCCCAAGTGTCGAAATCGACCAAGCGAATTCGAGACTCTTCTCGGGATCTAAGAACCAAGCTTAGATCCGGAGGAAAATCGTGTAGATCTCAGATCCGGTCCCTCTCGAACACTTGCCTTGTTTGGCGTGGATGATCGCCGAGAACCGGATCTCAAAGTCCAAGTCTTCAATCTTCTAAAGCTCCAATCTTTTTTAGATCTCAGATTCCAATCCGGCAGAGCTTCGACCCTCCCAAAATCCAACCCCTGAACAAATGAACCAAGGCCTCTATTTATAGGCTCTCTTTACTGTGCCCGCGCACAGAAATCTGTCGGCCACCTCTGGGTGGCCGGCACTGGGCCGAGCCACCTCAATGAGGTGGCTCGGCTTGGGCCGAGCCCCTCCGGGTGTGTGGGTTTGCGGTTTTCCGCCTTTGGTTCTATTCGTGATTCGGTTCTGTGGTTGATTTATCCAGACTTGATTCGTTGATCTGATTTGGCAGTAAATCCGGATCCTGATTAGGCAGTAAATCCACTTCTGAGTCTGAGTCCGAAACTGATCTTGATTCGATCGTGATTCGTCCGAGTCCGCTCTCGGTTGGATGACTCGTTGACTCTTCGAACACTTGGCTTGATCCCGCACGCGAATGGATGTATTCCGTTGCTTGCGTGCGATTCGTCAATCTCGTCGCCTCGTTGGTTTGTCGGTTCGTGCCGAGCTGAGCTAAGGGACCTATAAGCAATTTTATATGCCTACAATAGGTGAGTAGGTGCCAACCTAGTTGGGATAACCTAGTTGGGATATACTCATCTATTGTGATGCGACGAATTCTGAAATAAATTTCTACTTGTAAAAGATTTACTAATTATTAATAAAGAAGTTATTTTTATCATCTTTTATTTTTATAATTTTTTGTACATGTAATTTATGTCATTTCAAGTTATTAAAAAAATTTATGTCATTTTCTGTAATTTTTATGTATATTTTATGATGTATGAGGATTTTTAAAAAATTTTAAAAAAAAATCGAGCCAGCCCAGAGCCCAAGTCCGGGCTTCGATTTTACCCGGCCTGGGTCAGGTTTGCCGGACCGGACCGGCCCGGATGGACAGCCCTACTTGCGACCATGGACCACGACCCGGCCCACATAGGCCTGGTGAGCAGAGAGGTCGATGGCTATTTTCATTTGGGTGCATACTAACCTAAATTTGAAGACTTAAAAGAATAAATTTGCAATTATAAAAGATTTGGAGATATCAATATGCAATTATGGAAGAATTGAGGGGTATACAGCCAAATAACCCTCAAAAGAAAACAAGGGGGAAAAAAGAAAGAAGAAAGAAAAGGAAGAGAAATAATCGCAGAAAGAAGGAAAAATCCAAGAAGAAAATGGAAGAACTAGGAGAAGAACAGGAGACCAACCCATCTCTCAGCTCCCCTCTCCTTCCATCGAAATTGCATGATCCTGAAATCTTCACTGAAGTGAAGAGGCAACTGAAGCTAGCAGGGCCTCTGATAGCAGTGAGCCTTCTCCAATTCTTCCTTCAGATGATCTCCATCATGTTCGTTGGTCACTCGGGCGAGCTCGCTCTCTCTGGTGCTTCAATGGCCACCTCCTTCGCCAATGTTTCTGGGTTCAGCGTACTGGTATGCATCTGGGTCTTCCTTTTTTTTCCAACCGTTGTTTCAGTTTAGAGAAAAATGGGTTTGGATTGTGTCCATGTGGTGTTTGAAGAAATGCCTGGTTGAGTTTAATGATGCATCTGAGTTTTGATGCTGCGAATTTTTAAGTGGCTTTCCCCTTAGAAACCAGCTTAAATATGGGTAAAAGGCCAATTTGGTCCTTGTATTATGGGCTCATACTCGGTCCCCCCACTTTTTCCCCCTCAACTCAGTTCCTGTACCATAGGGTTGACAATTTATTACTCGACCCATTAACCCGACCCAACCCGACCTGTTTATAGTGGATATGGATCGAATTATATGGATCGGATCAGAAACAGGTCAACTCAAATTTAGTCATTTATTAAATAGGTCAGTTCGGGTTGGCCCGGACTGACCCGTATAATCCATCAACATCCCGTAAGTTCGGGTTGGCCCGGACTGACCCGTATAATCCAACAACATCCCGTAAAACCCAATGACCCAAAGGGGGAAAAAAAGAAGAGAGAAGCCCTAGAATTCATCCCCAATCATCACGGAACTCAAGCGGCGAGCGGTGGTGAGTGGTAGCGAGTGATGGCGAGCATTAGGGAGTGGCAACAAGAGACAAGCGATGGCCGACGTCAGTTAGAGCTTGAACTTTGCTATAAGTTTTCATTTAACTTTCTCTTTTTCTTATTTCTATCCTTTTCTTTTCTCTTTCTCTAATTTTCTTATTTTACCCCCAGTTCTCTAGTTAAAGATGCATCAGATTCTCATAATTGCTTCAAATTTCTATTAAAGTATTAACCTTTATGGATTTAGATTGATGATTTAACTTTGATTTTTGAATGGAACTACTTTATGACTTTGGTGCATAAACTTTTGATGAAATTAATGTATAAATACAACAGTTTTCTCTAGTTAAATATGCACATTCATATTGTTTTGTCATATTTATAGGTTTTACAAAACTTATGTGGTTTTGTATTTTTTCTCAGTTAATAGAGTCCAATCCTACCAATAATCCTATAGAGGAAAATTTAGAAGTGAGTTCATCTAATGAAGAAGAATTAGAAGAAATATCTAGTTCTATTAGAAATACGCAAAGTGATAATTGACAAAAAGAGAAAAAGAAGATTAACATTTAAAGCTTGGAAAATATTTGATCTTGTTACAGTCGAGCTGGGAGGGAAACAATATTCAATATGTAAGAAGTGTGGAAACAATATTCAATAGCTAAACATGGGATGAAAAACATGTTAAGACACATGAAAAATTGTAAGAATGCTACTAGAAAGGATATTGAGGATTTATCGAAGTCAAAATATTCTATAATGAGTTCTTCGAGATTTAATTTTGACCTGAATAAGTATAGGGAGCTCTTAGTCTCGGCCATGATTATGCACAATTTGCCATTTTAATTTGTTGAGTATGAAGGCATTCGAGCAATCTTCTCATATTTTTGTGAGAATCTAAAACACATATCAAGAAATACGATTAAAGACGGTGTTCTTATAATTTGTGGAAGAGAGAAAAATAGGCTAAAAGAAGCTTTTTAATCGATTCCGGGTAGAATTAGTTGACTTTCGATTGGTGGACCTCAATAGCCACCGATGGATATATTTATCTCACGACACACTACATTGATCATGAGTGGAAATTACAAAATTGGGTTCTTAATTTTTCTTAGATGCCACCTCCTCACTCCGGTGTTGCCATTTATGAGAAGACCTATAAGCTGTTAGTTGATTGGAAAATTGAAAAGAAGTTGTTTTGCTTCACTCTTGGTAATGCCTCCACAAATGATGTTCTTGTTGATTTATTGAAAAAACAACTTAATTTGAAAGAAGCACTTCTTGGGAAGGGAGAGTTTTTCCATATTAGATGTTGTGCTCATATCTTTAACTTGATTGTCCAAGATGGTTTAAAAGAAGTTCATGGTTGTATTGATAAAATCCGAGAAAGCATCAACTATATAAAAGGCTCTCAAATTAGAAAAAAAAGGAATGTGTCTCTCGTGAATCTTTAGAAGTGAAGAAGAGTTTAAGGCAAGATGTTCTAACAAAATGAAATGCTTCTTTTCTAATGCATATGATGTTGTTGACCTTAGTTTATCATTATTTTTTATGTCAATTTACATTCACATTTGATAAATGCTTCATACTTCAAACTGAAATAGAAATTTGTTAGGTGACAATTCAAATGTAATTTTTCTACATTCTTGATCTTGTTTTAAGATTCATTATTTACTACATTAGGATGCACTGATCAACAACATCACATACATTCTTACTCTAAACAAGCATGGTGCTCTATGATTAGATTTACATTGGAACTAAGGACATGTATTCCATTATGTTCAATTTTTAACTTAAGCAAGCAGCCAGAAATTCTTTTGTTGGAATGATTTAGGATACCACTTCACAATGACCTTTGCTCTTATAATTAAAGCATATTAGGTGACAATTCAAATATAATAATTATTTGAGAAAATAATAAAACCGAAGAGATATACTAATAATTTGAGAAAGAAATTACCCTTAAGATATCAATGCAATCTTGATCCAAGGTGTCATTATACCCACGAGAAATTCCCTCCTTACTTGATTTCTTCAAGTTTCTTCTTCTATCAATATTTATGTTGCTCGAGCACTCTTTAAAGAGAGAGAAAAGCTTGTCTTTCACATTCTTGAGCTCTATAGAAAATTTATCCATACAACCTATAGTAGTAGAACTCCACAAGTTGCATCTTATATCGGGGATCCAATGTGCAAGCAATAGCAAGTAGAACATTATACTCACTCTAATATTTTTCAATTTTCTTATACATTTTGGTTGCTATTGACTTAACATAATCATCATTATCTTTCATCCTCCTCTTTAAAGTACGTTGCACAACAAATACTTGAAGAAAGTAAAGATTAGCTAGTGGATAATTTGTACTGGAGAAAAGAAAAGTGACATTATAGAAAGTGGCTAATGACCTCTTAACCTTCTCACCCTTATCCCATTCTTCTTGAGATGGACAAAGTCTTGAGTAATTTGAATCACTCAATTGCATGTGTATAAATACACGACGATAGTATAAAGCAGTCTCAAGCATTAGAAAAGAAGCATTCCATCTTGTTGCAACATCTTGCCTTAAACTTTTCTTCACGTCCAAAGATTCATGAGAGACACTTTACTAGATTTTTTTTATTTTCTAATTTGAGAGCATTTTATATACTTGGCGCTTTCTCGGATTTTATCAATACAAGCATGAACTTCTTTTAAACTATCTAGGACAATCAAGTTAAGAATATGAGTACAACATCTAATATAGAAAAATTCTCCCTTCCCAAGAAGTGTTTCTTTCAAATTAAGTAGTTTTTTCAATAAATCAACAATAACATCATTTGTGGAGGCATTATCAGGAGTGAAAGAAAACAACTTCTTTTCAAATTTCCAATCAACTAACAACTTATAGATCTTCTCACAAATAGCAACACCAGAATGAGGAGGTGGCATATAAGAAAAATTAAGAACCCGGTTTTTTAATTTCCCCTCGTCGTGAGACAAATATATCCATCGGTGGCTATTGATGTTCAAATCGGAAGTCAAGTAATTCTACTCGGAATCGATTCAAAAGCTTCTTTTAGCCTATTTTCTCTCTTCTATAGATTTTAAGAACATCAATATTTCTTGATATGTGTTTTAGATCCTCACAAAGATATGAGAAGATTGCTCGAATGCCTTCATACTCAACAAATTAAAATGGCAAATTGTGCATAATCATGGCCGAGACTAAGAGCTCCCTAAACTTATCCGGGTCAAAAGTAAATCTCGAAGAACTCATTATAGAATCTTTTGAGTTAGATAAATCCTCAATATCATTTCTAGTAGCTTTCTTACAATTTTTCATGTGTCTTAACATGCTTTTCATCCCGTGGTTACCTTCGGCGATGTACTGAATTCCACGCTTCTTGCATATTGAATATTGTTTCCCTCCCTGCTCGATTGTAACAAGATCAAATATTTTCCAAGCTTTAGATGTTAATATTCTTTTTCTCTTTTTGTCAATTATTCAATTGTGTTTTTTTAATAGAACTAGATATTTCTTCTAATTCTTCTTCATTAGATGAACCCACTTCTAAATTTTCCTCTATAGGATTATTGGTAGGATTAGACTTTATTAACTGTGAAAAAAATACAAAACCACATAAGTTTCGTAAAACCTATAAATATGAGAAAACTATATGAATGTGCATTTTAACTAGAGAAAACTGTTGTATTTATACATTAATTTTATCAAAAGTTTATTCACTAAATTCATAAAGTAGTTCCATTAAAAAATCAAAGTTAAATCATCAATCGAAACTAATAAAGATTCTTATTTTAATAGAATTTTGAGGCATTTATGAGATTGTGATAATATCTTTAACTAGAGAATTGAGGGTAAAAAAAGAAAATTAGAGAAAGAGAAAAGAAAAGGATAGAAATAAGAAAAAGAGAAAGTTAAATGAAAACTTATAGCAAAGTTCAAGCTCTCACCGCCGCCGGTAATCGCTCGCCTCTCGTCGCCACTCGCTGATGCTTGTCGTCGCTCGCCGCTTGAGCTCCATGATGATTGGGAATGAACTCTAGGGTTTCTCTCTTCATTTTTTTTCAGAGAGCATTTATGAGAGTCGATTACATCATTGGGTCATTGGGTTTTACGGGTTCGTGTTGGGTTATACAGGTCAGTCCTGGTCAACCCGAATTGGCCTATTTAATAAATGGGTAAATTTGGGTTGACCAGTTTATGACCTGACCCATATAACTCGACCCATACTCATTATAAACAGGTCGAGTTGATGGGTCGTGTCATAAATTGCCACCCCTAACT